TTTTTTTTTTTTTTAATCAAAATGTACGTTTCCTCCAAACATTTTGAAACATTTTGCAATATCCTTTGAAATCTGTTGATTCTCTTTGGTGGATGAGTTGGGGTTGATAACCAGTCCACCCATGATAAAAGCCCTACAGAGCAGTGACTGCATTAATTTATCAATACTGGATCAAGAGTACCAATTCTTTGTCAAAAATGTTCAGTCCTATCAGTTTAAAAGAAAACAAAGATTTTTTGCACTGCTGAAAGGGTAGGATGGACACATGAGTGCCCTTCAAACATCCAGTTGCTTTGGAATCAGCAGATGCACTAATTATGTGCATATTGTGAGGCAGGAGATGAACACAGGGCAACGTTTGATCACTAGCCCACCACGGTGCTTCTAACAGGAGGTTATTGTGTGTACCCCTCTTATCTGGCCCTTGATGCGGTGCCCATGGCAACGGCATGCAAAGACGTAGCTCTGTGAGAGTGGAGAAAGGAGGCACAGTGGAGGGGCCACTGGAGCCGATAACAGCCGCTGTCTGCGCAGGTTACATCAGACTCAGGTGAATTAATCTGAAATGCAATCTGAAAAACCACACAGGTTTCACTTATTTACAAAGGATGCTTGAAAACATGCATACATAAAGCTTAATTTCCTGAAATAAATTTGTCAGCATCTCTATTCTATCAGATATTTGTTATAGAGTCAAGTGAGATTGAGATTGAGAGATGAAAATCATTCTTTGTAGTTGGAAATTTGGCACTAAGGTAATTAAAGATTACAAAAAATATCTATAAAACCCATTCAGGTAGAAAAACAATGTTAGATATGCACTGTGACTGACAGTTTGTGGCCCCGTGAAAACCAGCTTTACTTCCCTTTCATTGTTTTGCCTCTTCTTGTAGTTAATCGGCACACACAAGGCTTGTTGTCACATGTACAGTACAGTAGGCTTGGCTGTGTCAGAGGTTTTCACTTTTATCCAACAATCTGAGGTAGAGTTCACAACAATAGCTATAATTAAAGGGGTAATTTACATTTTATAAACAACTATGCCCTGATTGAGCTTTAGTAATTAGGACAGATGATAAATATTAAAGGTCCCACATGTCCTGTGGAGTCAACAGATATAACACCACTCAGTGTCATTAAAGAGGGAAGCCTTTATCAATCAACAGGATTCCTTTCAGGCCCAGGAAATCATAGGCCTTCCGTCAACATAGTTTATTTAATAAAAAAATGACTTTACTAAGGTACTCAGCACAATATATTTTTCATTTGACAGACTCCGTTAACAGGCAGTAAAATGTCAATTTTAGTCATTATAGAAACTGCTGCCAGAGTGAAAATGCCTAGACAAAGGCTGCTATTCCTCAGCCAAGTCATTAAGTAAATATAGAAGTAGTGTGGAGGAAATGAAAATGAAAAAAGGCCTTCTGCAGCCCACAGAATAAGTACAGGATGTTGCAACAGTGCACCGCCCCAGTTTGTACGTCCCACTGTAAATATAAAATAGTTTAGGAGTAGGTGTCAGTCCAGGAAATGTGGAGGATATTGATGTGTGCAACAGCCTACAGAGCTTAATAGAAGAAAGAATATTTCCAACGTACAATAGTCTATTAATATAAATCAAGTGTACTGGCTTTGTTCTAGCTATGTACATGTTTAAAAAAACAATGTGTGTGCTGCTACTATTGATTTTGGGAACCTGCTATTTCTATTCTTAGCTTGGAAAACATAAGTTCCCTCTGCTTCCTCTGAAATTACTGTAATGACATTTCTCTGCTGCATTGCAAAAACACTTGAATGAAGAATATGAGCTCATGTAATGTTTTCCTCGAGGTTGTGTGTGAGGCTTTCGGTCCTGGGCTGTGGGCGACACATATCCTGGAACAGCCTGTTTGAAATTTAGGTTATCACACCAAGCAAACTTGTTGATGACAATGGGCTGGCTATACATCCTGAAAGAGTCATATGATGAAACCTCATGACCCCTGCCTGGCTGTAAGCTCAGACCAGGGAACTGCAAACCATTAAAAACCTGCTCTCTTTTTCAGATTAACAGATCCAGTGCTACTAATCTAGACATTAAAGATTGCCCTACATCTGACTAGTGAAGCTGGATGAATTGTAAAGGTAAGAAATGACCCTCAGGGATCATTAAATGAAACTATGAGAGTTTGAAATGAAGCCTGAAGACTATTTCCTGGAGGCCTCTTCTTCTTCTTCTTCTTCTTCTTCTCATCTTTAACTCTTTGAATTGATGTGATGTCACAAGAGCAAAAAAGAAAAAAGAAATTCCCAGAAGAGCGATAAGGAAAAATGCAAAGTCATGCTGTGTAGTGGGATTGTAAGACTGGACCGAAATGAGCTGTAATCACGTTCTCATCTCATCTTATCGCGAGAAGTGAGCCGTACTATAAATTCCCCAATCGCGGCTGTCAGCCCCCGCACTCCCCTCTGTCCTCTGTGTCCGTCGGTGTGGTATCAAAGCTGAGGTATGTGTTATAAAATACTTTATTCTATGTTTTTCCTCATTGTGTTTCACAGTTTGAGTTTGTTAGAGTGTGCAGTTGTTCCACTTATTGGAGTTGTTTAGTTGGGTTTCTGTAGCTGAACTGTTCAACAAGTGGTTTGACACAAGATGATTGTCGTCAGTGTTGTCTCGTTCATTGTGAACAACCGACGAGGCTTTGATAAGTAGTAGAGTTAAGGAAAAGGAAAAGCCTTTGATGTATTTTTTTTTTTGTAAAGTGAAATGTTTCCACTGACAGACATGACTCACAGCTACAGTGTCAGGGGGACATTTCGACTTTAAAGTGCAGTTCAGTTGATGTGAAGATTAGTGAAATACCAAATCATTTAACCAATGAACTCAAGTGGCCTGATAAGTCCTGATGTACCAGGAATCTGTTTCAAGAAAAAACTATGAAAAATAGTAGAAAAAAGTATCATATATGCGGAAACACCTGTGGATTTAAACAAAGAAGAAGTGGAAATAGTTCATAGGTTTCAGTTGTTGCCAGTTAAAATTCAGCCTGGTTACATAGCCGCGGTCTGAGCTGCTGCAGATCTACTGTATTATTATATTATTATTATAGCCGACATCTAATATCAATCTGTGCTCTTTAGTTCTGAATGAAGCAAAAACGGTGTTGTCTTACAGCTATATTACTGTGTATAATTACAGTATTACACATTGTCCTACTCTGCTGTGCCACTGATATTTGCACAGTTCAATAAGAATAGTTTCACTCTGATGAAGACATTCTTCTTATCAAACCTGTATTCGCCTCACCTTTAGGGCTGCAACTAACAATTAATTATTAAACAAAGTTTAAGAATTAAACTAAAGTCCAAGGTCTACAGATATTTTGTTTTTTATCGGAGCAACAGCCAAAAAACTACGTTTATTAATGCTCAATCAAACGCTCACATTAAAGCTGGAACAAGGTAATGTTTGGTATTGAGGAACTACTTTAAAGATCAATTCATTATCAAAATAGTTCCCTATTCATTGTGTTGTAGCACATGGTACATGCACTAGAGCTGAAATTATTAGAAAGATAATTTATTTGACAATTAACATAAATTAATAAACTATTTTAATAATTGTAAACATTTGCTGGCACCGGCTCCTGTTTTGTCATATGATAGCAAACTTAAGATGTTAAAATATGCAACTTCCATATGTCACAGTGAGCTCTGGAAAGAGAAGATCTTTCACTGTTTTCAGACATTTTATAGACAAAACAATTACTTCATTAATCGAGATAACAATCAGCAGATCATTATGGAAGGTCGAGAAAGGAAATCATCATCAGTTGCAGCCGTGCAATGAATAGTTATTTTATATGAGTCTGAAAACTTGTACAAGTTGATATGAATAAAAGACATAATTTCCTTGTCCTGTAAACGAGGAAGTGTTATGGTTTATCCAGGATTTCACACACAGAAACAATGGTTGTGATTTTGAGAAGAGATTGTGTAATAAGTAAAGAGTTTCCTTCTTCTGTAATATGGTCAGACTGAAGATGGCTGCAGGCAATGCACAAATTGGAAAGCTGGCCCCGGACTTCACAGCCAAAGCGGTGATGCCAAACGGACAGTTCGAGGACCTGAAACTGTCAAGCTACAGAGGTATACTGCTTTGATGACACTCTCCTCTGGACTGTGATCCACTGCTTTGTGATCCCACAATATACTCAATAGACATTCATTTACACTACTGAAGGCTAGAATGAATTAGGCTGGAATTACCATAGTTACATGCTCACATGACAAACAGCCTTAATTGTTTTCTTCTCCTTTGGTGCAGGGAAATATGTTGTCTTCTTCTTCTATCCCCTGGATTTCACCTTTGTGTGTCCAACTGAGATCATCGCTTTCAGTGATGCTGCCGAAGATTTCAGGAAGATTGGCTGTGAGGTCATCGCCGCCTCTGTGGACTCACACTTCTCCCATTTCGCATGGTAGTTACGAGGCTTTTTATCTTAAGCAGCCGCAGTGATGGTGTGAATTTACTCTTGCAAACTTTCTCTCTCTGCTTTATGTTCTCAAAGGACCAACACACCACGTAAGCAGGGCGGTCTGGGTTCTATGAAGATTCCTCTGGTATCTGACACACGGCGCACCATCTCCACTGATTACGGCGTCCTAAAGGAGGATGAGGGCATCGCCTATAGGTCGGTTTGGCAATGTGCAGTTGGCTGTTTCACTACGCTTTGATAAAGATCAGAAATAATAAAGCCAGTGTTAGCTTCTGTCGCGTTTGCTTCCTGAGCGAGGTGGTACACTTTTATTAACATACCATTAAATGCGCCACTTTCCTGCTTTCACTCACTGCTCCTCTCTGAGTGTTTACGTCTTCTGAGACTCATGAACTCTTGCACTCTGTTTCAGAGGCCTGTTCATCATTGACGACAAAGGCATCCTGAGACAGATCACCATCAACGACCTCCCAGTTGGACGCTCTGTTGATGAGACCCTGCGTTTGGTCCAAGCCTTTCAGTTCACTGACAAACACGGAGAAGGTAAGTTACTGCTGTGTCATAACTGCAGAGGTTTGGCACCTTAATGTATGTAATTATTTTACTGCGTCCTGCAGCATACAACCCTGAGTTTATTAAACTATTCTCTCACTAAAAGATTTCAAGATCGCTTGAAATAAGCCATACAATATTTATAATATTTATACAAATGTTTTTCGTTTACACAAAAGTTTTTCTTTTCTCTCTCTTTTTTTTATTTGTTTTGTACATACTGCCTCACCCTTTATTCCTGCTGTGCTATGTGCCATTGCAACGTAATTTCATTTTGATGCAAATCCAAATGAAAAATAAAGTCTGTCTAAGTCTCTAATACTGTGAGTGATATAATTACTCTCACCTTGCTCTCCATGAATCCGAAGTTGCTATTGGCTGTTTGTAAAGACAGAGCAAAGATCATAAATGCTTATTTAAACATAAAGGGTGATTACCTTATCAGTGCTAAGGTTCACATGTATTTTACAACAAGTTGAGAAAGAATTGTAGACTAAAGGGTGGCAATAAAATGAGCATGGTCTTGAACAAATATAGTATACATTCGCCAACCAAACCTTTGATGCGTTTCCCTGCTTAGTACCCAAAGCAACATAGGTTATACACAGTATATCTGCATCCTAGTGGCACAAATATTTAATGCTTCATCTCCTGAGCCAGGACTCATTACAGGCTTATCTTTTCAGTGTGCCCAGCCGGCTGGAAACCAGGAAGTGACACCATCAAACCTGACGTCCAGAAGAGCAAAGACTTCTTCTCCAAGCATTAATAAGCCCAAGGCCAGAGTGTGTGGCCTGCTGTAGGAGATTTCATTTAGAGATTACATTTCAAGAGAACAATATTTATGTCAACCGCTGTGCCTGTGGAGGAGAGGTTAGGAGACCGTTTTTGTAGTCAACATGCTGTGTGTGTTCTGTTGTCTGTAGAGTGAATAGTGCACTTATGACCAAAGTATATAATTGTGTAATTATGATGCAGTAATGTATGCTGAGCTAAATGTCTGTTTGTTCTTTCATGACATTCCTCACTATTGTTGCTACGGACCATACAAACATTATTATGGGAATGAAGCCACAAACACCTCTCTGTTATGTCGGATTTCGTTCTTTTTTTTTTTACAGTGAACAACAAATGTTCTTTCATCAAAATAAAGAGTACGAGTTTATAACACTTTAAAGGAATGTATTTACTGCAAACATCACAGGTGAGATGTGGGTGTGTTGGAGTTGTTACACAAGTTTTGTGGTGTTAGTAGAAACAAGTCAGGTACATGTTTGATTGTGTGTGTGAGGTACTATGATTATATGAACAATTACAGCAAATAGTCAAAGACATAAAAATAATGGTGGACGATAAACCCCATCTAAAGTAAGCTGGAGGGTTATCTTGTATTATGAATAAAGTTTAAAATAAATATTCTTTCCCTAACCATGTTAATGGTTGATTATCAAATGCTGCTGCAGGGGTTTTTATTTAATTTATATTTTGACTGATTACACTTTGGATTATTTTGAATGTAGTTGAGTGACTTAAGCATTGCACCACTAACATTTGAACTGAAACCCCCTGTGTGAGTTGACAAGGCCTTTAATTGTTTCTATCAATAGACCTAAAACCTATTTAGATGTTCATGTATTGTACATTGCTCTCTGGCACACCTTGATTGAACAGGGCCGCCATTAATATCATTAATCACACCTGTAATAATTAACGTAGAGCTGGAAACTGTTAAGGTTGGACATGCCTTTAACTTAAATTAACAGTGAGTATATTAATAGCTAGTAACATACATTTAATCAGCCCCATTCTTTCTACACAAGGATATATTAGATAAATACATCTGTACAGTTAACAGTGATAAAGCTCTGTACTCTCACTGAGGGCATATTTTTGGCGGGAAAACCAAATGACGGCATCCTGGCTATTGTTAGATTAATATTTCAGAGTCTGAGTTGAGCCTAACATATTAAGAATTGAGATAGGCTTCCTAAGACTTCATAGACTGAAATAACCCTGGCAGGAAAGGTGTCGTTAATATTAGTATATGTGTAGGGTCCGTTACGTTGGCTGAATGTTGTTAAATTAAATAATTTAAAAGGTGAATTAATCATTAGCATTAGCCATACCAAGCTAACACTGAGCAACTACAGGAGAAAAGATGGCAGCCGGGAAGATGTGCATCAGGAACAAGGAGGAGACTGCTGAGGTTTGACCACCCGCAGCCTAGCTCTCGATAATATGCTTACCTGTAGATTAACTCACTTTGTGTATTTATGAGTCAGTGTTTAACATATTTCCAAGTCTGCTGTGGAGGACTTCAGATAATAGACACGGACAATTGCGCCATCCGGTGGCCACCAAGTCCAATTTAGCTTAACTGCTTTTCTCCTTTTACACGTCTTTCTTAATCTGTTTTCTATCCTGTCAATGGCTCTAAAGTGGACAGGATTATTCCTGAGTGACTTGAAAACCGAGCAAAAATCCCTGGTCTTCGTCAAGAGGATGGTGGCTGTGGCAATCTCCTCCATCACCTACCTCAGAGGGATTTTTCCAGAGGATGCCTACAGATCCAGATATCTGGAAGGTGAACACTGATGACCACAAATAGCTTACAGGGTTTAAAAAATCACCTCAAAGGAACATACCTCCCGCTATATCAGAACTTGTTTCAGAAATTCCTTACAAAAGGCAGTTTTTAAAAGTGTTTTTCTACATAGTAATAGAGCCTTGTCACAGCAGTGATTGTGATATGAAATAGTAGGTTAAACACAAGTGTTACAAATGATATTCGGTTCCTTTCCAGTTGCACAATAGCAGCTCTCTGACTCTGTTTATATTATTATATATATATAAGGTTTAACCTGAATGGACTTTGACCTTAATTAATATCATTGGTAACACCTGCCCTACTATTTTATGTTAAAAAGGCTGCTGTGAACAAGGTCTCTTCCAGCTGTATGGGAGACCCATGATGAGCAGGAAAAGACCTTACATTTTACAGGGTAACAGAGTAATAAAAGCTATTTATTGTCTTGTGTTCTTTGCCCTTTCACCAGATTTGTGCATCAAAGTTTTGCGAGAAGACTGCAACAACTCTGGTGCCAGTAAAGTTGTGAAATGGTAATTAAAATAGTCCTTCCTTAATGCTCCCAGACAGCACAGTAGTACTTTAGTCTGAAGGCCACAGCAGCTAAATCAACACCAGAAGTTCACAGTTATAATTAGCACTTCACGTCATTTCCTACCCCAACTGATGTTTTCAACCTGTCCAATCTTGTCTGTCCCAGGATGATGGGCTGCTTTGATGCATTAGAGAAGCAGTATGTAAGTTAATGCATCCATGAATACTTTGAATTTCTAATGTTTAATGTTGTCTGACATTTTGCTCAATACTGCTTCAATGACTTTTACTATTTAATATTGTCCTCTTAACAGCTGGAGATTGTGTTCATCGGGGTAAGTAAATTAAGTCAGTGATGCAACATTTATAGTTAACACATTGCTTACTTATAGAACAAAAGCTGCCAACAGTAACTCTATATGTTGGTGCCTTCTAGGTGTACACCAATCCAGATGAACCTAATGTAAGTTCTCTCTCAAAATACTGAAAAGTGTGTTAATATTATGAAGAGAAACAGGCTTTTTTCATGTGTAGTAGTAAATTAAGAAACATTTAGATTTATTTCCCCCTTTTTGCAGTGCATTATTGAGTCATACCAGTTCAATTTCAAATACACTGAGAAGGGGCCAAAGATGGACATAATCAGGTTTGGATGGACACTCCATGTTTGCATCAGTGTTGTGGATATGGCCTCCGCATGTGATTGAAGCGATGGTGATATTACCTCCATAAAACCACAGGAACAACGATGTGGAGATGCAGGTGACATTGGAGGACACAAAGAGAGCCTCCGTACTGCTCATCAGGAAGCTCTTCCTGCTCATGCAGAACCTGGATGCCCTCCCCAACAACGTCTACCTCAACATGAAGCTCTACTATTATGATGACAGTAAGACGCATTGATGTCTCTGCGAACAAAACAAGAACCTTTTAAGTTTACGTTTCTCTTTGCGTCACATACAAACATCTTCTTCCTGCTCTCCTTTCAAAGTCACCCCTGCTGACTACCAACCACCAGGCTTCAAAGAGGGCGAATGTGACAGCCTCTGGTTTGAAGGCATGGCTGTGCACTTCACGGTGGGTAAGGTGCATACTGGCTTCCACACCTTAAGAGTGCGCGTGTCAGCGGATCAAAGCCGGCTGGAGAAGCTTCAAGAAGGGAACCACCTGAGGGAGACCAAGCAGGTTTCTCAGAGAAATCCTCCAGAGAGGGAAACGATCAAGGTGGGTCCAGAAAGAGGATTTATTCGAGTGCTGGATTTCTGTGTAAGCAAACATTACCTGTTTCTTTGCTGATGTGCAGTTTTCTCAAAAAGCACTGAATCTAAGTCACTCTCGTTAAATGTTGTCCATTCTCTTTTTTATACAGTTTTCTGTCAGTTTATTATAATTGTCTGTAAACACCTGGTTACAGGATCCTTGTAAGAATACGCACGACCAAGAGGATCTACCTTCTGAAGACGGTATGTCTATGTGCTGCTACTGTTAACAGAACTATAACACTCATCAAAGGGTTTACACTGTTGACTCTCTTTCAAACAGAGTCTGCACAGTTCAAGAAACCCACAAGACCTTTGGCAAAGGTACAGTTGCACTAGAAGCTTGATTATATGAGAGTATATAGGTTACAGAAAAATAAATGACATCACCATAATGATGAATTGTTATGATGCAGTTGGACAGGTCATTATCTTTTTGTCTATCTTAGAGAAATGCAGCCACCAAAAATCTGGCGAGGAAGAGGAGAAGAAGAATTTAACCACAACGTTTACACAAAAGCTCTGTCAGCAACGTAAACACAAACAGACTATTTATGCATTTTATTGCAATGTTAAACACTGTTTAATGTTATGTTACTATTGATTTGATAAAAATGTGTTAGAGAGGTTCCTTATGTCTCCCCACAAGGCAGGATGTTACTGTCAGTTCTAATGTAGACGACATTGTACAAAAAGTGTACATGAAGTGTACAATCTAGATGAATTAAATTATTATGTTCAAAGTGCTTTATTTTTTAGTATTTTGTGTGTATAAAAAAATATATTGATGTGCATTGTTCAAGAAATAAAGCATTTTTGTTTTTTCTGTAAAAATGTTCTTCTGTACGTGGATGACAGAATATATTAAGCAAGAAAACATGCAGAGCAACTCATATGTATGCTGTAGTAGCTGAAATCAATCAAGATTCAGTAAATATTAATTAGAATCTGTAGTTTGATTCATCAGCTGATTGGCTCAATGTTACATTTATATCCTTCATAAAGAGTTTTCATCACTTTCAGCACTAACACTTGATGGCCTTTCTGTTCTGGTCCAGACCATCTGTTTTAGTCTCTGGGTCAGTGTTACAGCTCCATCTTCCTCTCGATGCGTCTTAGAATAAGCTGTCCACATCTCCCATCTCCACAAACACGGTCTTCAGCTGGGAGTAGTATTCGATCGTCACCTGGCCGTTCTCCCGCCCTATGCCTGGTGAATGTACAGATTATCGATTACTTCCACTTCCACTAATGTATGTGATTGGGGAGTGTTGAAACTGGGTTTTTAAATTAAGAAGTACTTTCACAATGCCACAATTGTTCTTTTTGGCATATTCACTGCAATTAGATTTAGGTCATGGTCTTCGTGCTAACAACCAGACTGTACCTGACATTTTGAAGCCTCCAAAGGGCACCTCCACAGGAGTGATGTTGTAGTTGTTGATGAAACAGGACCCGGCCTTGAGGTGTGCCACCACACGATGGGCTCGTCTCACATCCCTGCAAACACAAAACAATTTTTGTTGCTTTGACTACTGGTAATTCTGCTGCCTTCAGATCAAATCTAGATTCTTCTGAAAGGTTTAAGCCAATTGGTTCAAAAATCCCTTTTATTAGCCTAGATGTCTCACCAAAAACCTACCTGGTGAAAACTCCTGCAGCCAGACCCATGGTTGTGTCATTGGCTCTGTGCAGCACCTCCTCTTCTGTTTCAAAAGACAACACAGACATAACAGGACCAAAAATCTCCTCCTTCACGCAAGTCATCTCATCTGTGCAGTCACCTATACAGGGAAGAAAAAAAAGAAAGGACGAGAATGTGAAAACACTGGTGTGACCTCAAAGTAACCGATCTAAACTGCAGTGATGAATCCCTTCTCTTTAACACAGTAAAATTATTTTTAATGCTACAAAAAAAGAGTAAATTAAAGTTGTCCATCTTCCTAATGCAAAGACTTACCTAGCACACAGGGAGTCATGTAATATCCACCTCTGAGTTTGGGATCTGATGGGACAAAAGGTTCACCTCCACACAACACTGTAGCTCCCTAGAAACAATTCACATCAAGATCTAGATTTAATTTGCTGCACACAGGAATGTTGACATGGTGTTTGTAAAAAGCAAACTAAATTAGCAAGACGAGTCCTACCTCCTTCTTTGCCTGATCAACAAAAGATAGGACTTTTTCTAGGTGTGCTTGGCTGACCAGTGCTCCCATTCGCGTGTGTTCCAATAGTGGGTCTCCTATCTCGATCGCCTGGGTCCTCTTCACCACCTCCTCCAAAAACTCAGGCAGAATATCCCTCTGAACAAAGACCCTTGTACCGTTGCTACAGACCTGTGATACATTTAATCAAATAATATGTCTCCATGTGTAGATTGGACACAGTGTGAAAGCATATGAAAAACAACACATAATATCCAAAGCTGATATCTACCTGGCCTTGAGACAGGAAGTTGGCCATGAGAGCTCCCCTCACTGCGTTCTCCACTTCACTGTCCTCAAAGATAAGCAGCGGAGATTTCCCCCCGAGCTCCAGAGTCACAGGCTTCACCCCCTTGGATGCCATCTCCATAATCTGTGGGTGGGTTATTCCGATTGGGACGGAAAAGAAAACTTAACACTAAAGTGGTGTTTCTTTTAATTAAAGGTGGGGTCAGTCCAATTGTTGAGTCTCATTCCCAGATTGACGGATATAGATGCTATGGCAACCCAAAGTGTCCACGAATGCCATCTGTTGTGTGTGGCTCGTTGCAAGCAACTTTCTTTATTTGGCATATACCATAAACTAAAGCGTCTGTATTTGAAGGCCTGGGAATGACACTCAACAATCAACTATCTTTTTCCAGAATGACTGACTCCACCTTTAATGTCTCATACTTATAAGTTGGCACAGTGTGTCAAATTTTTAGACCCTGACCTTCTTGCCTGTTGGCACACTCCCAGTGAAGGACACTTTAGCGACGTCCGCGTGGTGGCAGAGTAAGCTGCCGGTCTCCTGGCCGCCCTGCACCACGTTGAACAGCCCCTCTGGAGCGCCGGCCTCGGCGTAGAGCTCTGCCAGTAAGACTGCCGTCACAGGCGTCACTGGTGATGGCTTGAACACCATGGAGTTGCCTGTTTTAGATCACAGACACAAGAGAAAAACAAGTAAGTAATACTGTTTGACTCATCTAATCCACTAGACAGCACCCAGAGATTATAGCTATGTCCAGTAATTAGATATGCTTCTTTATTACACACACACAGACACACACGCACAGTAATAGGCATAGAAAGCAGTGGTGATATGTGAAGAAACCACTGGGATATATTGCTGTAGTGCCATCTATAGGTCAAGGGTCACTAAAATGTTCAGGATTGCCATACTTAGAAGAATTTGACAACCAATTACAGAAAAATGATAAAGCATATGAAGAAAGATCAGATTCATCCAATATCACATGTACTAAATCTGGGAGATATTGGATGCAATTTGTAGTGATTGATGAATTGCTGCATTGTGGGTGTATCCAGTGTTTCCCTTGGCCCACAGTCTAACTTCTTTAAGGGAGTTTGTGAGATTTTCTGCTAGATAATATAAAAACAAATATAGCTAACCAAAAACATAACCTTCCTGAAGGAGAAAAGTCTGAATTATTAACTTGTCTTTACAACTTGAGAAGTATCCCATACCACAGGCCAGGGCTGGAGCTGATTTCCAGGCAGCTATCTGAAAAGGGTAATTCCACGCACCGATACCAACACAGACTCCCAGAGGCTCTCTGCGGGTGTAGGCAAAGGACCCCCCAGGCAGCTGGACATGCTGGCCTTGATAAAGGAGAGGCAGAATTATAATCTTAGTAAAACAAAGGGTTTAAAAAGATTTGGTTTTAAGAAAGTGAGTATTGTACCAACCTGCCATCGTGCTGGCTAGTCCTGCATAGTACTCTATACACAGTCTGGCAGAGTCCACATCCAGACGGGCTTCTGTGATGGACTTCCCATTGTTGACCACCTCCATTTCAGCGATCTCCTCTCTCCTGCTCTGTGCATGAAAACCACAGTGTAATAGTGTGAGTGCAATTGTTACACAACACAGTATGTGAAACAAGCTGCAACTCAGCAGTATTTTTAAAATTAAATCTATACAGCTCATGGTAATTTCCACTCTCAAGGTCTTTATTTTGCATGAAATAAAAGAGGCTCCATTAAGATACTAGCACACTGATCGCTTTCAAGAAACCAGGCCAAGGACCTATGATCAAAGTACTCTCTGAATTAATTCTCATGTGGTCTTTGTACCGACTTACATATTTTCAGGAGTATCATACAAAAGTGTAAAAATAATAATAAAACCCACCTCAATGATATGGGCCGCTTCTATCATGATGCGCGCTCTCTCCATCCCAGACATTTTGCTCCAATGGCCGAAGGCCGACTTTGCAGACTCCACAGCCTGATCGACCTCCACAGCACCACACGGCTCCAAATGACACAACACTCGCCCTGCAAAGTGAAATATATGATGGTAAATTAAGTACGCAGGTTAAACATAAAAACAGAAGGTTACAATGTTTTTATTTGGCAAGGCCATCTGACTTGTTTTGTTTACTTAGAACTGGTTCAATGTGCGTCAACCCTCAATAAAGAAGATATTAATTCTAGGCCTGTAGAGCACAAGCTGTAGCACAATGTATTGAATGTGGCATTTACACTGTGGCGTTGAAGGTTTCTTTGACAATGGCATTAGTCATTAGATAAATAACTAGGAACCATGCCAGGCAGTGCCACAAATTACAGTAACACAAATGTAACACCTACTGGGTATCAATGAAGCTATAATAGCTAGGATGTGAAGTGATCACATGACTTGGCTCTGCTCCACTGAAGCTGTTCAGTGGCCACAAAACGGGTTGCACATTGGCCAGTTGTGACTAAATGGATATACTATATAGTGAAAAACAGCATGTATGCATGATGTATAACATGAATTATGACAATTGAATTATAACCTGTTAAAATACCTGATACTGTTTTCCCAGGCCAGAGATCACCATGCATACATCTTCACACAGCAGTGACCAAAGTCCAGTTAGGAAACAGTGTCAACAATGTGGGACAGCTTTTTAACAGCTCTAACATCGACTCATGGTGTGACTTGCCTGTTGCAGGTTCGTAAACATTTTCCGTGGTGCGTTTCTCCAGGCTCGTCCGTCTCTTCCCAGCCCAGAAGTTCAGCGGGACCGTGATGTCCACTGACCCCGAGGAGACGCATCGTACCGCCGCCGCGAGGGGAGCAGCTGCGGGCCGCCGCAGGGACGCAGCGAGTCTCTGGAGCATACTCAAACTGGCTCTGTGGCTCCGAGTTTATAACTGTAAAACATACACCCTGCAGGTTAACACCATAAGACACTGTCGCCTCATTTTTAAAATAAACACCGACACTGTAAAACGCCAAAGCGCTTTCACTCAACTTCAGTAAACTAACGTTATGCTAAACTAACTAGTTAGCTGTTACAGCAAGTGTACACAACGTTTAGAGGGTAGCTCCTTCTTCCTGGATGTTTCACCATTGTATATAGCTACACGAACTATACTTACAGGCCTCTTCACACTTATTGTGGGGTTTAATGTTATGAATCTAGATAACAGCTCATATGTTCGGTTAACGTTACTTTATCTCAGTGAGCCTCAGCCAGGGGGCGGGGCCAATACGGTACGTCACTTTCCTGTTCTGTCAGACGATTGGATATTTTCACTGTCAAACACACAAAAACAAAAGTAATAATTACAAATTGATAATTTAATTGGATACAAACTGCACGGGTGTTACAATTAAACTATGCTAAAAGGAATGTGAATACGTAAAGGTAAATACAATTAATTATTCTTTAGTAATAAAATAACGGACGACGGTGAAGTTGGCTTCCAACTCGTCAGTTAAGGGGAAACTTAAGGGAGACTTAACTTACTGAGCTAAGGACTAGATTATTTGAGAGAGGCTTAAGACTCTTTAAAACACAGTTTCAGATTTGTGAAACCTTTATTTTATTTGTGAAAATACAAAACAGGTAGATTTCACAGTTTTCCCCACATTTAGACCACAATGGACCAGGTCTCTTTCAGTAACCACCATGTCCTGCAGTCCTCCATGACAAGTAGAATAAAGTTTTTACAAATATGAACGCGTTAAGCCCACTGACAGTATTTATTAGTTAAGCCTTTACCTAAAGCTTTCACAAAAGTAAGAGGAGCAAGAAACGGAGGATCGGTCGCTCAGCACTGTAAGATAAATCTCCCTTAAGTTTCTCCTTAACCGTCGAATCGGAAGCCCACTTCCCCGGCGTCGTCACTAACGCCGTGTTGTGGGAGGAGCTCCATCACAATGATCTTCCACAGCAGCGGCTCCGACCGCACATTGCAAGTATGGCCGGGGACAGTGAGACACATCTAAGGGACCGGGACGAGAACACCAACATTGTTCGACAACCCTTTCTCATCGGTGTCTCCGGTGGCACCGCCAGCGGCAAGGTTGGCACCCTAGATGGCTAATTTGACCGTTTTCGCGGGTTGTCAGGGGCAGATTTAGAGCTACGGCAGAGGGTCCGTCGGCAGCCGGTTGACCGCGTGGCTTCAGCGGCGTCAACGCTGAGGTTTGATTGACAGCTCAATCATCTGTTCAAACACTAGACCCTTCGCTAGCACCGGTATAGCTCAGCACACTCGTCCCGGGCTTTGTAATTGTTCAGTAGCGTGTTTCCGTCCCGTACGGGGGGCGGAGGTCGTTAGCAGCACCGACTAACTTTAGACGACGTGGAAATCACTGATGTTAGCCTACTTAGCCGCCTAGCTCAAGTCCATCACACGCTATCAGTGCAGACAATGGCTGTTAGCTGTGTTCGCTCACCTCGAGGCTATCGGGACTCTTGTTTGTAAACAATGAACCAATTATATTTGCTTCATGTCTTCAATGTCGCCATAGTAGGCTTGTAACCGCATATTTAGTTAAAAAAAGAACAAAGAAAAGCTGGTAGCGATAAAGGCATGTTTTAGTGTGTGACCTGGGGCGACAGCTAACGTTGAATAACGTTAACCTAGATGTTGGTGTAACATAATGACTAATAACAGACACAGACGGCAGCGGGAAATAAAATAAAAAAACAACCCAGATGGAAATATTTCTCTGAAGCCATCGCCCCCACGTCCCTTTGTTCTATTACGATTCAAATAAACCAGGTTGTGACCGGGTTGAGTAGTGTAACCTTCAGTCGGGATTCATTTAAACAGAAAGCGAGGTTTATTTTAACAAAGCTAAAGTACAGCCTCGTTGGTTTGCCTTTTACCATAACTTGCGTGGGCAGCACTGAACACTGGCTGACATCCTCCTCGTTGCTAAAATAACGCACCGACGTGGACATAGTCAAAGACGTCATTAGGTTTCTTTGTTATGGACCGAGCATACTTCACCAGTACCACCAGTACCACCACACCTCGGGTGGACCGGAGGCACCAGTTGAACTTCCTAGTGAGAGCCACTGCCAAGACACTTAAAAAAATACTTAAAATTAAAGGTTTCAACATCTGGCCCTCTAAGTGCTCTATTATAATATTTGCTCACGTACAGTGTAGGTAGATCAGATATGAGGGCGAAGACTCGCATGTCTGACGTCTTCTCAGTCCGCCCCTCCTCCCAACTTTGTCCCAGATATCAGCACACTGGCGCTGAGCCACTGTTTTGCTTCCTGGAGTAAAAACCCCTCACTAGGGACTGGACGAAGGGTTGTCTGTGCGGTTTTGACGCCACACTAGACGAGTTTTAATTGAGGAGACGGCTCATGGATTGGATGATGTAATTTTAGCCTCCTCGTCTGAGAGCAGCTCTCTGCAGGGCCAGTAGCTGAATTGTTCATCGGCAGGTGTTTGATTTTAGCCTGGCGTTTCTTGGTAAAACATTTCTTTGTTCTGTCGGTAATGAAAATCGTCAGTCACCTTATCAGTCATATTTATCCAAGTGGCGAGAGAACCTTAAATTTCTTATTTTTTTTACTTTAAACATGACAAAAGTTGAATATCATAATACTCACTGATTAATTAATCAGCCAAAAGACTCATCAGTTTGTCAGCTTAGTGTTGGAGCATTTAAAATGCTGTATGTGCATTAGATCTTTGACGTGTTCAAATTCAGGTCCTTTTGTCTGATTTTTGCATTTGAGTGTGTTGACGCAACCTCCCAGCTCCCGAGGTGGGGCGTCCGAATTCATTGTGGTACACTTTCAGGAACACAAAGGCATCAGCCGCGGGCAGCTGTAGAATGCCCAGTCAGCACTGGATATGAGATTCATTTAGTTGAGAAGGTCAGAGAGGGCAAACATGGTGGTCCACTGGGAAGTTCACCTCCAGTTGTGTTAACTGAATCATACAGGGTGGGAAATTACCCACCCACACCATTTCCTGTTAAATGTGACTGTGTGATTAAAATGTGTCTTCATTTTTTTCTCTGTGGACACAATACAATACTTATTTTTATGTTTGTGCTCAAACAACGCATTCCTGACCTATTTATTTATTTATTTTTAAATTGTTTTTCCGTTTATCTTTTATTGCAGTCGTCTGTATGTGAGAAGATAATGGAGCTGCTGGGGCAGAACAAAATCGACCACCACCAGCGGCAGGTGGCGATCCTCAGCCAGGACAGCTTCTACAAGGTGCTAACTCCAGAGCAGAAGGCCAAGGCAACCAAGGGCCAGTTCAATTTTGATCACCCAGGTATCCAACCAGCAAAACCATAGTTGGTGTATAAGCTCCAATGCACTGTATTGGAGTATAAAGCCCCTCGCCCCTCAGCCCCTCAGCCCCTCAGCTGCCTTGAAGCAGGCACATGTTTGCTACTCGTATCGCAGATTCCAGTTGCCTCAAGAAAAGTGTTTTTCAAATGGTTTGAAACCAGATACTTAATCTACAAGTGGAGTTTGACATGCAATGGTTTGTGGAATTGGTAAGAGCTGAGGCTGCTTCGGCAGTAAACAGATTAAAGATCAAGTCTTAGATGACGATAACTAGCGAACTCAAGCAATCAAGTTTCCAAGATGATATATAATGTTTCAAACAGGCTTTTGTTCAGCAGCATGCTTTGCTGCCATGTAGGTCATTTTTTTTCAGTGTGGCTTTGGCAGAAGCATAGACTCCATTTTTGGAGCCTGACTTTGCCCCCTCATACTCCTGCTTCCTTTCTCGGCTGATTTTAAATCCCCACACTCAGCAGGCCTTTCTCAGAAGCAGCTGCTGTAAGGCTCAGCGACTGAACCCAACACCTGTTACACGGAAGAGATTCCTAGGTCACCAAACGTGCAGAGTGGGGACCCACGTGTCCACATGCGCACACCAAGCTGGTGTTAAATGATACAGAATCTCATCAAGATTGTGACTGAGCGTTTGCCTTTTGTTGTCCTCAGATGCCTTTGACAATGAGCTGATCATGCAAACACTCCGACAGATCCTGCAGGGGAAGACTGTCCAGATCCCAGTTTATGACTTTGTCACTCATTCCAGGTGAGCACCTCTGTCTGTTGTGCGTCACAGCTGCCATTTTGCCAGCACCTATAATTATGTGCTCTTGAAGTATAGACATTTCATCTACAATGACACGTCACCTCAAACAGATAACTGAACCTATTATTTATCTTGATTTTCTCTGAGGAAACGGCTGTTTAAATTTGCGTAACACAATGAATGAATGTCACTGGCAGAGAGGAGAAAACTCTTCTGTGTGTGTTCTTCCAGGAAAGACGAGTTTGTCACGGTGTATCCGGCTGACGTGGTCCTGTTTGAGGGAATCCTCATGTTCTACTCGCAGGAAATCAGAGACCTGTTCCAGATGAAGCTGTTTGTTGACACAGATCCAGACACACGGCTCTCACGCCGAGGTGTGTAGTGATAGTTTGGTTAAGCATGACGGGTGGAACAATTGTAGAGTAGTGCCCCGCCTAACTTGAGTATGTTAATTTAATGTTAAACCAAAGTAATTAGTACTGCTAATAAAAGTTACATGTAGACTTGTTGCAGCAGGAACATTATAACACCAGTGTAAGTTCTCCCCAGTCACCACTGAATACTAGTGATGAATACCAGTGTGGGTTTCTATATGGATGTATTTTTCTCATTTTGTTAATAGGCTAAGATTTAATATTGTCCATCTTTTTTTGTGTATGTGCTTTCTCTATTTCAGTTCTAAGAGACATCAGTGAGCGGGGTAGAGAGCTGGAGCAAGTGCTGGCTCAGTACATCACTTTTGTAAAACCGGCCTTTGAGGAGTTCTGTTTACCAGTAAGTGATGTTCCTAACTTACAAGGTGGTATTGGTGCAGCAAATGTTACACTGGGACGGGTGGCATTATCAGACAATTATAGCTTAGAAATTTATATTTGTTTTAATGTACATGTCGGCCAATGTCAAACAAGTAATTTCAGCACAGAAAAGCCAAAGACACATTTGGGATAATTGAAGTGTTGCCATTACATTGTTTGTCCACCAGGGAGCACTGCGTTTTATTTAAACTCTCAATTCATATCTTGGGCATAATTCTTGAATAACCAAATTTAAGGCACCCTTATCGAAATGTTTATATTTTGTGGGTATTATACTATTGGTTGATATATTGGCAGATATTTTAGGTATCAGTGCCCATTTGATGAGGAATGTTGTTTCAGCACGTGAGCATTGACCATATCCTTATTTCTATTAGACAAAGAAGTATGCAGATGTGATTATTCCACGAGGAGCAGATAACCTTGGTAAGGACAATTGTTATACAGTGTACACGCATTGCAGTTATATTGGCGAGCATAGGAATCTCTTTGTCAATGTTTTTTTGCAAACGATTTTACACATCAAGGTCTCCTTACAGTTGTTGGAGAGTACTACTTTAGAAACTACGCTTTATAAGATGTGTAAAGCTTTGTGTGGCTCCAGAGGGAGCTGCAGGGTCTAATAAACATCTGTGTAAAGACTACATGGTAAAAGAAATATGGGGGTGTATAGTTAGAAATAAGTGAGCTTACCAGACTGTAGCCTGCTCCTCATTTCTGCTGGAGGCTACAAGCATAACTCTTCAAAATCTGAGCAAACTGCATTATGGGTGATTTAAAAAAAATAAATAAATAAAAAAGACAAAGACATCTGTGGTTCTCTGATTTTCAGCTTTGATCATTTTTAACTGCCTGTCATGAGTCTGACAACGTTATAGGAGAACAATGCTACATCTGTTTTACTTTATTAACTCTGTGAAACTCTCTCCTTGTTTCCTGCAGTGGCCATCAACTTGATAGTACAGCACATCCAAGACATTCTGAACGGTGGACCAAACAAGCGCCACAACGGCTGCATGAACGGCCACAGCACTCCACGTCAGCGACGGACCTCCGAGTCCAGCAGCCGGCCTCATTGACCTCATCACACCTCTCTTCACAGAGCGGAGAGGGGTGTGGGGGTCGCGCTGTAAATAATGCCTGATGGCATCTATGTATTTAAAAGAGAAAAGAGATGCAAAAAGAATTGAAATGCCTTTATTATTCTGACTCGTTATTAGTTACTTTCATTGTAATCGTTGAACTTAGATTTTGGTCAGGAGGGTATGAGAGAAGCTCTTGTTATTCTTGTGAAGAGACCATGGGTTAAAATTGACCCCATGCATTTCCCTCCCAGATTGCATTTATGTTTTTTATGTATCCCCTGCTGCTCCATGGAAATTCATGCCGCTAATGAATAAAAGAGGGGAATCCTTTTACTTTTTTTTTGTAATGTCTGATAAAACTTGAACCCCTGATGGCCGGGGGAGTCTGATAAATGTTTGTGTGGGTTCCAAATGAGAAGGGCGTGGATTAGACGACGATTGAAGAAACCAGGATTGCACTCTGTATTTGTACTGACAATCTTGGAAGTGTTTTCCTTTTTCTCTTCTTTTTTCCAGTGTTTAAGTTCCCTCATTGTATTGTGTGGTCTAGTGTGTTCCACTAGACATCTGTTTACTACACAGTGTGCACCACATTGATTCTGAGTAATGTCTGCAGCAACACACTACATGATTTTTCAGTACTGATTGCAGAATAACGTGACTACCAGACCAATGAAGCCAAAGGCTGGAAGGTTCAACTGACTACTGTATTAACTCAGTCTAGTGTTGTGGGTATTGTTACTTTTTTGGGATGCATGTACCCTCTTAATTAATGACCTGTTGATGTATGATTATCCCAATCAAAACTCATTCAAACAAAACTCATGTCTTCTTAAAGAACATGAATTAAATCATAAGGTTATTCAATTTACTTCTCCAATTTAGATGAGTTGGCCCGCATTCACGTGACAGAATCAGCCCTGTTAGATAAAGACATGACATTTATAACTCTCAGGTTGATAATAATTTAAAGGATGTTCAATGCCACAGCAATATCCGTTTTCCCAGGTGAGTGGCTATTAACCACTGAGACCTACCACAATGCCTCTGCAAAGTTACCTCAGGTCAACCTGTACAGTAAGTATCCACACTAGAAAGCAGTTTCCATTCTAACTTAAGGTTACAATAAAACAAACTGTTTAATCAATTTTGTATTTCATGTGCTGTATTTGTTGTGTATAGTACAACTGGATGAATGGTTTGTACAGTATGTTTGTTGAATAGGAATTGGGTTATTGAATGATTTATAACTGAATGACGTCAATTGATTGATGGTCAATAAACGGATGAAGCCGACTGAAGTGTGATTATTTGGACAAAGTTTAATGATATGCATTGATGAGAATACATGTATGACACACAGTGGATAAGTGGCTTTCAAAGTGTCCACTAGATGGTGCAATTACTGTAGTTCTGCTCCCTTAAAATGCTGACGGACATATGAACACAGGGCACATGTAATCGTCCTGAATGGTTCATATGATTGGAACAAATACTCGACCTGCTACGTTCGGTTGTCAACAGCACAGTAAGACATAGCATATGTGGTATAAAATGATCTATGAACATTATGTACTGCAAGCATGATGCACATTTCCTCACATTCATTTCAGCTACTTTAATCCTAAAGCAAAGCTGAGCTGAAAAACAAAGAGAGCGTTCAAACGTTGCTTTTCACAGCCTCCCTCTTTGTCATGTAGCTAACGCCACCAAAAAAAAAAGAAAGAAAAGGGAAAACTAGTCCTTTATGACAGCGGGTGCTAGAATTTACGAGGAGCGCTTGAAGGCAGCAAAGAAAAGAAAAAAACCTCAGTGTGGAAGAGTCAAGATGGTGGTACGTGTCACCGCGGCATGTTCCTGATGTAAACAATGAAGCAATTTAGCTCCTTTTGGGTGAATTTTAACCTCTCCTTGTTTTATATGCACGACAGAAATTTGGGCTCCAGTTCAAAGCCACTCTGGAGAATGTCACCAATGTGAGGCCATTGGGCGACGACTTCCGCTGGTTTCTGAAGGTAGGGTGGCTGTCAAGAAGTGAGCTAGCATGCTAGCTCACGTCTGTATATAGTTATATAGTATGTCATCTCATTCTCCTCTCCGTGTTCAGTAGTGGTCATAGTTTTATCATGTTCGCCGACAGAGGAAATGTTCTGATATCACCCCTTACTTGACAACAAGATAAGAAAAGACATGTACATTGTGTAGGTGTTTAATCATGTTGACACACTTCTTAACCACTTTACTGATGCTCAGATCCACAGATTTTACAGAACAAAGCCCTCCATTTCTGTGACAGTGTCTTTCACTCTGTGTCTCACTTACACAGTGTTTGTGCATCTTCTCTCCTTAATTTAGCTGAAGTGTGGGAACTGTGGAGAGGTCCCAGATAAATGGCAGTATGTAACCCTAGTGGTAAGGACAAAATGAATCCTGGTGTCCACACAGTTTGGTCATTTCTGTACATATTGTCACACAGCGCATCCAACCTGTCTCTTTTAATGATTCACAGGAGAGCGTGCCACTGAAAGGAGGACGAGGCAGTGCCAGCATGGTGCAGAAATGTAAACTTTGTGCCAGGGAAAATTCAATAGGTAGGAGTCAACGGGCTGTTTTACTCACTTTGTCTTCATTCTCTGAGGAAAATACTGTTGTTGAATTATAACGTGTATTGTTTATTTACAGATATCCTGGGAGACACAATCACACCGTATAATGTAAGCAAACATACTGTACTGAAAACAGCGACTCCCATCACGCACTGCAGTTGCCATTTGAAAGCATGACTGCTGGTGTGGGGAGTAAATGTGCTCATTTTCAGTTCATTCATCTTCTCAGTGCAGAACCCTATTAGACAATTACTTTTTGTTAAACGCATTAAGCAACAGCAGAGTGACGGTAGGACCATGGTTGTTATAGGTTGTTTTAATTAGAGATTGATTATCGGTTTACTCGATCGATTACTGGATCCGATATTCAGCATTTTTCCGATTACTGGTATAGTTTTGCCGATAAAATAAATAGAAAACTCAAATTTCACTACAAATGTGAGTTTTACTAGTTTCATTTTTATTTTTACTGTATTTACTTCGTAAAGTTTTGTGAAACAATTTTGTGTATTTCTTTAAGTTTTCAGTTAACTTTATAAGAAATGCATTCCTGCACTTGTTTTAAGATGGCATTGAAAAGTTATCTTTTGCAAGTCCTTAAAGAACTCCAATGTTCTACTTTATTAGAGGTGGCAATACCAAAGTGTAAAAACGCTTTGTTAAAAGTAGAAGACCTGCAATCAAAAGTACTTAAGTAAAAGTTCAAAAATATCTGTATCACAATATACTTTAAGTACTAAAAGTAAAAGTGCAGAATGGCTCATTTCAGAATAATGTATATTATATTACTGGATTATAATGATTGATGCATTTTTTATCACTTTAATGTTGCAGCTGGTAAATGTGGAGCTAATTTATTTACAAGCAATAACAATTGCATAAAATGGAGAATACTCATGTAAAGTACAAGTATCTCAGAATTATACAGTACTTAACTAAATGTAGTTAGTTTCACTGTGAACTACAGAACAGTGGTTATTTTTAAAGATTTCCATTTTTACCGGCCCTGAAAAAACATATAGGTCGATCCCTAGTTGTAATGGGGAAATTAAAGGATAGGTTTGTTCTTTTTTTAAATTTTTGGTCAGGTGCCCA